TCGCTCATATCATACGTGCACTCAAAACCCTCGCCCCTCGTCATCAGCTTAACCGCGATCTCGCCACAGTTCGCACACGCACCAGCTGAGCAGTGTGCCGAATTTTGATTCCTTCCCCCAGCCTCGCAGATGGAAGTAGGCGCTAGCCTTAGTAAGGACACTGATGGTCTCATCCATCTGCTTATCTGCTGGGTATGACCGTAAGGAAGGGTGCTTCTTAACAATCGCCCCAACCGCGGATTGAACCCGAGTCGTCTCTAGGGGAGTACTCGCCGCCAACAACCAATCGCATACAGCGGCAGTCCAGAGAGATTCGTTGGTATAAACCGCATACTCCTCACCGCCAGCCGGTACCAGATGTGGCGGAGGAGTGGTATCATCCGGCTGGGCGGCGATCACCGCCATCTCGATGCGCTTACACAACACTTGCAGACTAGTCCCAGAATCCATCACTTCAGCCACAGAGAGATTAGCCCCTGATATCAACATAACCCCATACGGAAAACAAGTAGATACTTACCGAATTCCTTATTAACCTGCGCTGTTAATAATACAACGTTGAGACTGGACAAACCCATAAGGGTCGTTTCAGAGGTCGGAGGTTCACCCAAGATAGCAGTCAGAATCCTCAGGACCTGACGATCACACCACAAACGTCTCTAGAGAGGAAATACGAGGCCACTTTCTGGTATTGGGATATATCCACGCGTTGGTGAAAATATGAAAATTCTGGCGACATTTCTGGAAATTCTTGTTGGTTTCTGTACACTTCTATCGTAGTTCGCATATAAATTCTCACAATTAGTGAGGACACTTCCGAGCTCAGCTGAGGAAAGCGAACATAAATTTCAACACTGCAGAAGACTCCCACACTACGTCTGACCGCGCGCCACGAAATTGCCTACCTTTTGCTCCACAGAGTTGCCCCTGCTATCGAAGAGCACAACATTATCCGTGCTCCCAGAGGACGGGCTGGTCTCTCCTCTCGATGGTGTATCGCTTCCACAAGTCGATGAGCTACTGTGGCCTCCCACGAGCCGCCCGATGCTCGCCGGTTCTACCACGTCCATACCAAAGGACTCACTAA